AGTTTGGTGTATCTTATAAGTTTGTTTTCCCCTTTTCTCTTATAAGAAGCTGATGAGTGTGTTTTATATATTTTGCTTTGCTAGATTCCCTAGACTTTTTAGAGCCCTAGTCTAGATTCCCTAGACTTTCTGTCAAAGCACATGTATATTTGGCTTGGCGCCTATAACTTGGTGGTTAAGGCTCTGGCCACATACACCAGGGCTGGAGGGTTCAAACACGGCCTAGGCTTGCTAAACAACAACGACAATTATAAAAACAACAAAAATAAATAGCCAGGCGTTGTGGCAAGAGCCTGTGGTCCCAGCTACTTGGGAGGCTGAGGCAAGAGAACTGCTGAAGCCCAAGAGTTTGAGGTTGCTGTGAGCTATGACACCACAGCACTCTACTGAGGGTGACAAAGTGAGACTATGTCTCAAAAAAAAAAAAACAAAAAAAAAGCACATGTATTCACAGAACTCATGATTCAGAATCCCAAACATAGAGGAACTCTATAATTAATTGTTTAACTTACAAAATTATTACCTCACATGCATGTAGCAATATGGCTTCATATGTATATATACTTTTTTCTTTGAGATAGTCTATGGTCCCCTTGGTACAGTGCTGTGGCATCACAGCTCACAGCAACCTCAAACTCTTGGGCTTAAGTGATTTTTCTTATCTCAGCCTCCCAAGTAGCTGGGATTACAGGGGCTTGCCATAATGCCTGGCTGGTTTTTTTTGTTGTAGTTGTCATTGCTGTTTGGCAGGCCTGGGCAAGTTCAAACGTGCCAGCCCTGGTGTATGTGACTGGCACTCTAGCCGCTGAGCTGGAGGCACTGAGCCTATGATTAACAGTTTTAATAAGGTTTTGTTATTGTTGTAGCAAAGGTGGCAGGGTTGTTGGTTTGTTTTTTTTTTGAGACAGAGTCTCATTATGTTGCCCTTGGTAGAGTACCATGGCATCATAGCTCACAGCAACCTCAAACTCTTGGACTAGGGTGACCGGTTTTGGGTTTTTTTTGAGACAGAGTGTCTGTCTCTTTAATCAAAAATCATAAATCAAAAACAAAAAAGAAAAGAAGAAAGACAGAGTCTCATTATGTCACCCTCAGTAGAGTGCTATGGCGTCACAGCTCACAGCAACCTCAAACTCTTGGCCTTAAGTGAATCTCTTGCCTCAGCCTCCAGAGCAGCTGGGACTACAGGTGCCTGCCACAATGCCTGGCTATTTTTTGGTTGCATTTGTCACTATTGTTTTAGCAGGCCCGGGCTGGGCTTGAACCTGCCAGCCTCAGTGTATGTGGCCAGTGCCCTACTCAATGAGCTACGGGTGCCAAGACAAAGGTGACAGGTTTATCCTGAGTTTTCTCTTGGATTGTTTGTGCCTGTCAAAAGTCTGTTTGACAAAGAGCCCATGCTCCCAAGTGACAGCCTACTTCAATTTCAGGCAATAAACCAAAAGGAACCATAGGTTGGAGAACCACCTTCAGAAATGTTAAGTGATTGCTGTGCAGCCTACACTGTGCCCTGGGCAGGAGAAGGCAGAACCAGTAGAGGGGTATGAGGGGGACTAAGCCACAACCCTCACTTTACCTTCTATCAGCAAAACAAAGCAAGAGGGCAGCCCCTGTGGCTTAGTGGGTAGGGTGCCGTCCCTATATACCAAGGGTGGTGGGTTCAAACCTGATCCCGGCCAAACTTCACCAAAAAAATAGCCAGGCGTTGTGGCGGGCGCCTGTAGTCCCAGCTACTTGGGAGGCTGAGGCAGGAGAATTACCTGAACCCAGGAGTTTGAGATTGCTGAGAGCTATGATGCCACAGCACTCTAGCCTGGGGCAACAGAGCGAGACTGTCTTAAAAAAAAAAAAGGAAGAAAGACAGAAAACCTCATTGTCCGGGATCAGAAGGACAGTCTGGGAAGTGGAGGGCTGAGAGGAAGGCTATAGGAGCACAGCGGATATTAGGCAGAGGCCCAGATAGTCCAGCCCGTGGGGTTGGTGTGCCCACATGGCTGTGACAGTATAGCCAGAGGGGGGTACAGCAGTTTGCTCTCTGCCCTGCAGCCTTCCTTCACAGAGGAGGGAGTGCACATTTGAGCTTAGAGCTTGTTGTGTTACCTTGGGTATCTTTCTCTTCTTCCTGCCGTTCTGTGGGTCTCCAAGATTAAAGAATGTGTCATCCGGGCTGCTGGGAGTGGAGGGGGGGCTGACTTTGGAAGGGGACCCAGTGCCATCCCGACTCAGCTTCCTAGTGTCCAGCAGTTTGAAGTTCCTCCTCTCTGAATTTTGCCGGAAAAAAGCAGGTTTGGACAATGACTGCTGTGAGGGAAAAGGAGAAAAGGAGAATAAATACAAAGTAGACTAAGTGGGAGACAAGTGGCAGTGCCAGTGACAAAGACCATGAACCCGGCAAGAGCTGGTCTGGGCTCCCAGGGTACGTGGACTTTGTCTATGTAAGTGCTCAACAAACACTTATCATCCAATAATGGAGAATCTGTATGATGAAGGACGTACGCCCAATCCAGTTTCTCTTTTTAGATAAGTGGGGGCACTGGCTCAATCCCTAGACTTTACTGGTAAGACATTCTGATAACATATGACACATGATGTACTAGGAGTTACAAGACCTAGGCCTAGCTTTGACCTTGCTGTTGGCTCACTGAGTGTCTCCTACAATACAAGAATGTGACTTTTCTTGGTCTCAGTATCTTATTTCTAAAATAACCCTCTTTATTGTCAAAAGGCAAACAAAAAGCTGGCTAAAAAAATTCATAACTCAAAATACAGAAAATAACTTATTTTCCTAATATATACCACAGGCAGAAGATAAGAAAGAATGGAAAGTTATAGATAAAGAAATGCAATGATTCTTAGATATATAAAAAATTACTAGCATCCCCAAAGAAAATTAAAACTCTGTTACAGAAATATATTTCACTCAAAGATATAAAAGTTGGGCTTGGCAACTGTAGCACAGTGGTTAAGGCGCTAGCCACATACACCGAGGGTGGCAGGTTCAAACCTGGCCCAGGTCAGCTAAACAACAATGACAACTGCAACAAAAAATAGCCGGGCATTGTGGTGGGCACCTGTAGTCCCAGCTACTTGGGAGGCTGAGGCAAGAGAATCACTTGAGCCCAAGAGCTGGAGGTTGCTGTGAGCTGTGACGCCACAGCCATCTACTGAGGGTGACATAGTGAGACTCTGTCTCAAAAAAAAAAAAAAAACTTAATGTAGTGATAGGGAAGGTTCTATCAGATACATACATATTGTATATACTTACACTAAACATAAAAAGTAAGGTATAGAACAATTGGTATAGTATGCTGGAGTGTGTATGTGTGTATGTTTTAAGGAGCTATTCTCCTGGTACATGCATAGAATACTTCTGAAAGAACACATAAGAAACTGATTAACAAGGCTCACACCTGTAATCCCAGCACTCTGGGAGGCTGAGGTGGAGGACTATTTGAGCTCAGAGTTCGAGACCAGCCTGAGCAAGAATGAGACCCTGTCTCTAAAAAATAGCTGGGCGTTGTGGCAGGGGCCTGTAGTCCCAGCTACTTGGGAGGCTGAAGTAAGAGAACTGCTTGAGCCCAAGAGTTTGAGGTTACTGTGAGCTACGATGGTTTTTCTCACTGGCAATGCTAGTTGTCTCCCACTCACCGCGAGGGTGACTGAGTAAGACTCTGTCACCAAGAGGATCAGTTAATCACAAGAGTTGGAGGTTGCTGTGAGCTATGACACCATGGCACTATACTCGGGTTGACAGAGTGAGACTCTGTCTCAAAAAAAATAAAATAAAATAAAGTGAAAGAACTATTTTCACTCCGTGTTTCCTTTTTCTTTCTTTCTTTCTTTCTTTCTTTCTTTTTTTTTTTGAGACAGAGTCTCACTCTGTTGCCCTGGCTAGAGTGCTGTGGCATCAGAGCTCATACTAACCTCAAATATCTGTGCTCGAGTGATCCTCCTGCCTCAGCCTCCCAAGTAGCTGAGTCTCCAGGCATGTGCCATGCCTGGCTAATATTTCTAATTTTTGTTCAGAGTCTCATTCTTGTTTAGGCTGGTCTTGACTTCTCAGCTCAAGTGATCCTCCCACCTTAGTGTGCCAGAGTGTTAGGGTTGCAAGCATGAGCCACTATGCCTGACCCTCACTCCATGTTTTCTTTCTTTCTTTCATTTTTTTTTTTTGAGAAAGGGTCTCAAGCTGTTGCCCTGGGTAGAGTGCCATGGCGTCATAGCTCACAGCAACCTCCAACTCCTGGGCTCAAGCGATCCTCTTGCCTTAGTTTTTTTTTGAGACAGAGTCTCACTATGTCACCCTTGGTAGAGTGCCATGGCATCACAGCTTACAGCAACCTCCAACTCCTGGGCTTAGGCGATTCTCTTGCCTCAGCCTCCCAAGTAGCTGGGACTACAGGCATCCGCTACAACACCTGGCTATTTTTTGGGTTGCAGTTGTCATTATTGTTTAGCAGGCCCGGGCTGGGCTTGAATCCGCCAGCTTTGGTGTACATGGCTGGTGCCCTACTCACTTGAGCTATGGTGCTGAGCCAACTCCATGTTTTCTAATGGTATTTCCAGGGCTCACTTTTTTTTTTTTTTTTTTGAGACAGAGCCTTAAGCTGTCCCCCCTGGGTAGAGTGTCATGGCATCACAGCTCACAGCAACCTCCAACTCCTGAGCTCAAGCCAGTCTCCTTCCTCCGCCTCCCAAGTAGCTGGGACTACAAGTGCCCACCACAACGCCCGGCTATTTTTTTTGGTTGCAATTGTCATCGTTGTTTGGCAGGCTGGGCTGAATTTGAACTCGCCAGCTCAGGTGTATGTGGCTGGTGCCTTAGCCTCTGGAGCCACAGGCGCCAAGCCTTCCAGGGCTCACATTTTATGATATCATATATTTAGTTGAAACATTTCTCTTCCTTTTTTTTTTTGGCCGGGGCTGGGTTTGAACCTACCACCTCCAGCATATGGGGCCTGCGCCCTATACCTTTGAGCCACAGGCGCCACCCTTGAAACATTTCTTTTTTAAATTAATGATTGAGGATGGTAGATGTGTCTCACGTCTGTAATCGTAGCACTCTAGGAGGCTGAGGTAGGTGGATTGCTTGAATTCAGGAGTTGGAGACCAGCCTGAGCAAGAGTGAGACCCCCATCTCTACTAATAGTAGGAAAACTGAGGCAAGAAGATCATTTGAGCCCAAGAGTTGGAATCTGCTGTGAGCTATGATAATCCTATGGCACTCTACCCAGGAAATAGCTTGAGACTCATAATTAATCAATTAGTAAATTAAATGAGGTAAAGGCATATAAAGCATCTAGCAGAGTACCTGATAGTATCCATCAACATGTTATCACATTTTCTTCCTCTTAACCACACTGACGTTTTTCACACTTTAATGTGCTAACTGGATTTTTCTTGACTTTTTTTTGAGATGGGGTCTTGCCCTGTTGTCCAGGTTAAAATAAAGTGGTGGAATTATAGTCACAACAGACTCAAACTTCTACACTCAAGCAATCCTCTTGTCTCCCAAGTAACTGGGACTATAGGTGCATGTCACCAAGCCCAGATTATTATTTTTGTAACATATGTATATTTGTAGAGACAGGGTCTGACCACATTGCTCAGGCTGGTCTACAAACTCTTGGCCTTTAGTGATCCTCCTGCCTTGGCCTCCCAAAGTGCGGGGACTAGAGGCGTGAGCCACCACACCCGGCCCATTTTTACCTATTTCTTTCAGGATTCTAGTACTTTTCTTTTTATTTTGGAGGAGCTCTCTATAGCAGTAGATAGCAATTAATATTAACAATTTGCCATTTTTGCTGCAAATGTGCTTTTCCTGTGTGGTTTATTTGTATTTTGGTTATGTGGTATTTTCCACATAATTTTTTATATGAAAAGCTGTTAGTCTTTTCCTTTGTGATGTATTTAATCATTTTTTCTTTGCCTAGAAATTCTATTTCTTTTTTGAGGTTTTAATAAATATTCAATTGAGCGGCCCCTGTGGCTCAGTGAGTAGCCTGCTGGCCCCATATACCGAGGGTGGCAGGTTCAAACCCAGCCCCGGCCAAACTGCAACCAAAAAATAGTCCCAGCTACTCAGGAGGCTGAGGCAAGAGAATCGCCTAAGCACAGGAGTTGGAGGTTGCTGTGAGCTGTGACACTACAGCACTCTACCAAGGGCAATAAAGTGAGACTCTGTCTCTAAAAAGTAAATAAATAAATATTCAATTATATTTTCTTCTGGATTTTCTTGGTCTTTTTTTGCAGTTTTTGGCTGTGGCTGGGTTTGAACCTACCACTTCTGGCAATGGGGCTGGCGCCCTACTCCTTTGAGACACAGGCACCACGCGGTCTGTTGTTTTGTTTTGTTTTGCAGTGTTTTTTTTTTTTTTGCCAGGGCTGGGTTTGAACCTGCCACCTCTGGCATATGGGGGCGGTGCCCTACTCCTTTGAGCCACAGGCACCACCCCATCTTGCTCTGTTTTGAAAGTACTTTATTCATTAATCCATCAGTAATTTATTTTGTGCTATGTTCATCAAAATCATTTTTTCCCAAAATAACTTATCTCTGTTCTATTTAATGAACAAGGCTTTCTTTCTTGCAGTTTTTTTTTTTTTAATGGATGGGGCTGGGTTTGAACCCGCCCCCTCCAGCATATGGGGCCAGCACCCTACTCCTTTGAGCCACAGGCACTGCCCTGAACAAGGCTTTCTTTCTCTGTCCATTTATAAGGCCGTATTTTAAGCTCTCATATTTTGCTCCACTGATTTTTCCATTTTTGCTTAGTTCCAATAATAACTTCAGAGCCTTTTTTCTTTTTTTTTTTGAGACAGAGCCTCAAGCTATTCCCCTGGGTAGAGCGCTGTGGCATCACAGCTCACAGCAACCTCCAACTCCTGGGCTCCAGAGAGTCTTCTACCTCAGCCTCCAAAGTAGCTGGGACCACAGGCACCCACCACAATGCTTGGCTATTTTTTGGTTGCAGCCTGCGGCCCAGGCTAGATTCAAATCCGCCACCTTAGGTGTATGTGGCTGGCACCTTAGCCACCTGAGCCACAGGTGCCAAGCCATTTTTTTCTTTTTTTGAGACAAAGTCTCTCACTTTTTTGCCCTGGGTAGAGTGCTGTGGCATCATAGCTCACAGCAACCTCCAACTCTTGTGCTCAAGCGATCCTCTTGCCTCAGTTTTTCTGTTTTGTTTTTTTTGAGACAGAGTGTCAAGCTGTCGCCCTGGGTAGAGTGCCGTGGCATCACAGCAACCTCCAACTCTTGGGCTTAAATAATACTCTCTTTTTTTTTTCTTTGCAGTTTTTGA